TGAGCCACAGTGCCACTTCCAGCTTTTTTCTTTTTGCTTATGTGGTGCTGAGGAATCAAACCCAGGGCCTCATGCATGCAAGGCAAGTGCACTACCACTGAGCCACCTTCCCAGCCTTACTTTATTATTTTTCTATCTCTCCAAGTATACTATGTGCTCCATGACAGCAACAACTATGCCATTCTTCTTTACTCACTAGCATAAGAACAACTCCTAGACTAGTATTTTACATATAGTAGTTACCGCATAAATATTTTGAAATAGCTGAAGGAATTCTATCCCCAGTGCCTAACACATTCCTTAACTGATTAACTTGTTCATAGTCCTCAACTATCTCATCCTTATTAAGTCTGTAGAAATAGAAAAGCTTCTTTTGGGGAATCTGCCTACTACTTCATTCGTGATAAATATGTTGACCTGAATTACAGCGCGGTAGTAGTTACCTCAAATTCTGGTACATCCATTTCAACCTGTCCTTTTAGCAGTGGAACTTTTCTGGGAGTCTCGCGAATCATCACACTCCATCTGAAATGAAGTTCAAAGGCAGATATTTAGAGTTCTGCTTTATCATAAGTTGGAATCCACGTATCATGTCAAGAAAGAACTTACAATGTTTGTGTGGTGGAGGGAGGTGGGTTATAAGGAGTACTTTAGCAACCTCTGGCCACCTGGTCTCAAAATTTACCACAAAAGGATACTGCCTCATGATTACTCTGGGCCAGTGGAATGGAAATTATTCTTCCCAGGGCTCTCAGTGAACAGTGATTCCCAACCAAAGGTAGCAGCATCAAGATCATTGGAGGTGATTTGGTAACATACACATAACAGGACCCTGCCCAAGTCCTACTAAAGTCCTTTGTATTGGGCCCAGATAAGTATCTTAAAAGAGTACCCCACTAAAAAAGAGTGCCCTACTAAATCTTTATGAACAAGCATAAAACAAATACCTGAATATTCTGTAGCCTAAAAAGTCTTCCTTTTTGGAGATAGTATGGCAATAGTCTCTCTTGTCTGCAATTATTAATGAACTTTTCCTTTGTTTGAGAATCTGATATATATAGGTAAGATTTCCCAAAGGAAAACTACTCTTTTGGTAATTGACTTAAAGGGGGTTCACAGGATCTTTGAAATATAGCTGTGAGATCCCTTCTCACAGATCTTTTAGGTTTGAAGAGGGGCTTCAATGAATTTAACAGATACATTATAGACTCTGGCTTCCCAAAAGACGAACTTGCCTACACTGAATCCAAAAAGGATGCAGGGCTCTCTGTGAGAGAATATTCCTGATGGAGATGATAGAACTGGGAGTAACTGATATGAACTGGAACTCACCTGTCAAGAGTCCTCACGCTAGCCTGTTCCACTCTGTTGAGGATGTCAAGTGGTGATTTGCTTTTGCTCCAGAATGCACCCCAACCCAGGACACGGGACAGATCATTGCCAGTTCCAAGCGGTATGACTGCCAGCTGACACTGTATGAATAGAAGGAAACATCCTTTAGATTCTAGGAACTATAATAGAAGGATATCAGAAGTTGTGGTGATTGTTCTTAAAGAGTTGGACCTCACTTTTAACAATAAACTACTCATTAAAGTAGAACGTTACTGGAATACATTAAACCTCCTCAGAAAAGAAAAGTATTAGAATCAGAATAGAGGGGCTGGCTACCTAGAGACTGGGGGAGAGATCAAAGAAAGCTTGTGGCCCCTTTGTTTTGTTTACTCTCTTCCCTTTCGGCTCTTCATTTTCAAGTTTAGGGAATGATTACTACTCATTTTTTTTGCTTCCTACTCTTTTTTTGTTGGTCGTGGGGCCTGAACTCTGGGCCTGGGACTTGTCCCTCAGCCTTTCAGCTCAAGGCTAACGCTCTACTACTTGAGCCACAGCACCACTTCCAGCTTTTCCTGCTTATGTGGTGCTGAGGAATCAAACCCAGGTCCTCATGCATGCAAGGCAAGCACTCTGCCACTAAGCCACCTTCCCAGCCCCTGCCTACACTTTCCAATCTTTTTCACATGGGGAGATGACTGGAAAATGGCTAAATTTGTCAAATTAGCTTTTGGCCTTGTAGAATATACACATTTTATTGTCAGGGAGAGTAAAAACTTTGGACTTTTTGGAGTGGCCAGTTCTGTACCCTTGATGTTTCTAGCAATGGCTAAACTGAGTCAATCGAGAACTTACCCTTTCATGTAATCCAAAGGCATCAACCAGAGATAACACCCAGCTCACACTGCCATCTCCACCGCAGACCAGAACACGAAAACGAGCAAAGTTCTTGAACATACACAGCCTGGAAAGAAGATAGGGAAATGATCATTTCATGAATAGCTGTATTAAAAAAATAATTGTCCTACAGTGTATCAAGACTCAAGTGCTAGGATATCCCTATAACAGACTACTTGCCTCCTTTTCCTTAGCCTCTATCTCTGGGTATACCCACAGACAATCTCAGAGATCATGCCTCAACTTATATTCTATTGTGTCTAGCCTTGCTGTGGAAGCTATTAGTAACGTATTCTAGCCCATTTGCAATGCATTGCAGAGTGCCAGTGTACTCAAAGCAACCAGGACTGAGCAGCCAGATGGTCTAAAAATTAAATAGGCCTATAGTAGTGATGCTTGTGTGTAATCCCCAGGGAAAGAAAGAACAGATGGACAGAAATATCCATTTGCTGCTTCTTCTGAAGTCAGTGGGCATAATTTTATTTTTTTGCTGGTCCTGGGGCTTGAACTCAGGACCTAGGACTGTCCCCGAGCCTCTTTGTGCTCAAGGCTAGCATTTTACCACTTGAGCCACAATGCCACTTCTAGCCTTTTCGGTTTATGTGATACTGAGGAATCAAACCCAGGGCTTCATGGATGCTAGGCAAGTACTCTACCACTAAGCCACATTCCCAGCCCCTAGTTTTATTTATTTTAATCAGAAGTGGTAAAAAAAAAATTGGGAGCAGGACATGAGCTTGAAAGGATTTCTGAGAAAGAACCAAAAGTTCTTCAACTAATCAAACCCAAATGCTCTGGAGGTATATGCTTGTGTACCTGCCCAGGTGCAAGGATTGATTCTAGGAACCTATTCTAGTCTAGAATGTATAGAGGAAAGCTCTATTGCTTTCTTACCCTGCTTCAGGCCCGCCCTTTGATAAATCAAACACTTGAGACGGATTAAGGTATTGCTTGAATTTTCGGAGGAAGACAATCCCTTGATGATCGCCACTTTTGGAATTAATGAAGATGAGTAAAGGGCATGAACAAGCAGATGACCAATCGAGATTCCAGAAGTCTGAAGATACTACTAACTGGCCTGAGACAGACAGAGAAAAAAGAGAAAGGAGAAAAAAACAGGTCATTTTGATGGAAATGAGAAAAAATAATTTAGCATCACATTTTGAAAAAAATTTATAAAAGCAGTACTGAAAGTTGAATTCAGGACTTCATGCTTATTAAGAAAGTACTCTACCACTTGAACCAAGACCCCAGCCCTTTTTGCTTTAGATATTTTTTGGATAGGATCTTACATTTAAGCCCAGAGCAGCCTGGACTATGATCCTCCCATGTATACTTCCCACATAGCTGGGACCTCAGACGCATACACACACACCACATTCAACTATTGACTGAGATGAAGTCTCAGCATATTTTTGCCTGGGCTGGCCTTGAACCACATTCCTTCCAATCTCCAACTCTTAAATAGGTGGGATTATAGGCATGAGCAACTGTAACTAGTTTACAAAGACTTTTTGAGCACGGATCCTAGTCTCTTGAGATTAAAGGGCAAAGTCAAGACCTCAGCAAAAGGGACTTGAAAGTCTTTTTCAACTATTTCTAGACAAAAATGCATTGTTGTAGCAACTATTACATACTAGCTCTTGCCCCCAAGCTGAGGAGACAAATGCATACACAAGTGGGTTAAAATGCAAGGAGTAAAGAAACATATGCCACACCAAATGTTAGTGAAACTCTGTGGAGAAACTAAGAAAGGAGAAAACTGAGAGCTTAGGAGAAAGATCAACACTCCAACTAGTTCTCTCTGTTTGTGTTACCTCAGTTCTCACAGTGAGAAGATATCAGGACAGCAGAGGGGAAAGAAAAGCTGTCATTTAGGGTGGAGGTAGTGGGAGAACATATTGGCATGGGGTGAAACAAAGAACTCTAATCACTTCTCTACATCTCTGGTAGAGCCAATTCAATGTTATCAAACCACTTTCAGAGGAAACAAGTCTATAGAGAAATTATCTGGAAAAGAGAGAGGCTTTTACTAATCCTCAACATTGAGGTCATCCATGGAGAAGTGGAGTTGTAACACTAAATAGCCAAGCTCTGCCAGCTCATGAGCTCAGTCTTGATGTTGGCAGGGAGCTAGGCAGGAAACAGTGGCCTCCTAGGTGAGGGCTGCTGGACAAATAGCAACTCCCCAAACCTCTGAGTTCATAACTTCCCAGAGATGACCCAGTAAAAGAGGATTCACAGGGGAAAAACATGTGGCTCACTTCTAAGTAGGATGTGTGGGCTGAGATATATGATTTATTGTAACCTGCATGAAAAGGAGCCAGAAGAATATCTCCTTGAAGAGATTTCATAGCTTTTTGGTCTAGAAAGAGTCTATGAAGTCTTTCTCTATGGGACAATTCCCATTCACCGGCCAGTAGAGTTTGAAGGCATTCTAAACCAGTCAAGCACCAAAATTCCAGGGCTTGCCAGGACTTGGAGCTACAAAAGGAGCCTACTGGGTCCCATCAGTAGTATAGCTTGGAAGTAGTTACTTTATCTGAGTACAAGTAATATCCTTATCAGCATTTTAAAACAAATGTTGATGTAATGCTAATTCTGACACATTGATCCATCCATTCATTCAACAAAGATGCACTGAGGGCTTTCTCTTGGCCTTTACACCTTCCTCCTTCCCTCCCTCCTTTCTTCTTTTCCTCCCTCCTTTCTTCCCTTCCTCCCTCAGTATATTTCTGAAGTTAAGATTTAGCTACTCACCATCGCCTTTGGGATCGCTCAGAGCTGTGGGAGGGACTATGGATGAGCGATGAGTCCCGAAGCAACATTCCTTGGAAAACCGTCTCCGACAGTCACTGTGCACCTGAAACGATAAGAACAGAGCAGAGAAAAAAAGGAGGGGGAGAGAAAAGAAGAGCTTTGATCAGTTTCGAGTTCCAATACAAAGAATTAGATAATTAATATTCAAATCTCCCTTTCTGACCTAGCTTTATATTTACTCATATACCTGACTACCCCTACTTCATCTTGAGCCTGCCCTGAATGCGAAAAACATTGGTCCTTTCAAAGGTGGATTTCAGAAGATACCTATCTACAAGTACTGAGAAGTCATTAGTTTTGGTTCAATCTTAGAAACCCACAGAATGAGAAGCTTTCTTTCAGTATGAGTCCTATTCCTGGTAAAATGGTTTTACACGTCAGTCCTTACAACAATAATGTATGATAAAGAAGACATTATTAGATTCATCTTACAAAATGAGCATATGCCAAAGGTAAAGGGTCTTGTTTAAGGTCAAAGAGCTGAGAGCTGAAAAAAATTGAATGGCTAAAAGTGGTCATTCTTCTTAGATTTCTGACATTTCTGAGGACTATGTCCTGGATAATTAATTACACAATTTCTATGGGGAACTGGAACTGGTTCGGTTATTCAAAAGCAATTAAAAGAGAGTAAATGGAGAAACAAGAGTCTTCAGTGAAGACTCAGGCTGAGTTGAATACTGGTGGCTCATGCCTGTGATCTAGCTACTCAAGAGACTGAGATCTGTGGATCAAAGTTTGAAACCAGCTTGGGAAGAAAAGTTCATGAGACTCTTATCTCCAAATAACCAACAAAAGTTGGAAGTGGGGTGTGGGCCAAGTGATAAAGTGCCAGCCTTGTGAGAAATAAACCAAGCAAGTGTGAGTTGCCCTGGGTTCAAGCCCCAGTACTGACACCCTCAAGGAAAAAAGACAAAAAGAAAACTCAGTTTGAAGGATGCATTTAACAGAAAGTCTAAATTAGCATCTCGCAACCTCAGTGTTGATATTTTGGGCCAGATAGTTCTTGGCTTTATCCTGTATATTGTAGGAAGTTTAGTAGAATTCTAGGCCTCTACCTACTAGAGGCCTACTACTACCAACAGCACTTCTCCCCTCAAGTTGTAAGAATCAAATATATCTCTAAGCATTGCCTATGACTTCCTGGCTGGGAGAGGAGGGACAAAATTACCCCCAGTTAAGCACCACTGGTTTAGAGGCATGGCAGTGTTTGTAGTTAGCAGCCTGGTCTTTACAGAATTATGTAATGATTAAAGCATGTTTTCTGGTTGCATGATTTTAGACAAATCACTTCACCTTACTTAACCTCACTTTTCTCACCTGTAAAATGGGTACAATAAAGTCAATTTAAAATTGTTGTAAGGACTGATATAATGAATATAAAAATATTCAGTATACAATAGTAATGATAATTTGTTCATATCATATTATAAGCCATTATTAATTTATGAAGATTCCAAGTCTTTAAGGAGTATTGAATGAAGAAGGAAGAAATTTCTTAAGGATAGACTCTGAATTCTATTTTTGATTGCCTATTCTATCACCATTAGAAAGTTCAGCTTTTCACCCTCGCCGAAATAGCTCAGTTGGGAGAGCGTTAGACGGAAGAAAGTTCAGCTTTTCCTATTTGCTAGAAGATCCCACCAATTAAGAATCATCAAATTTAAGCATCTTAAATCTTTCTCCCACAGATTCTATAGCTAGATCTAGAAGGACAAGATACTGAAATCTATACTGTGGAATCTATATAATATATTGGGATAAGGGAATCTGAAATTTCTAGCTATGTCTGCACTATTAAGCTCCACTCCACCCCTCCTCTAGAAGCTAAGTTTTTTATCAATGAGATGGGAAGAGTCTTACCGTAGCATTGCACCAGAGACAGCGGAAATCTTGAAGTCTTTCATAACTGCCACAGCTCTCATGACATACTGCACATTGAGAGCTGATAGGCATATTTCCTTCTACCCACTGATGGGGCATTGTTTGCTGAAAGGAACAAAAAGACAAAAAATAGACGTTAGTGATGAAAGGAAAGAAGGGCCAGCTGGAATAATTGTAGGATGCAGGGAAGACATTAGGTCAAAACGTCAAGTTCTTAGTGATCCTGCTCTCCCTATTACAATGGTAGTAACCAATGAAAGATAGAAGTGGAGTTTTAATTATTTGAGTTTGACTGGATTGAGAGCCAGGGAAAAAGGCCTACTTTGCTTGTCTAGTGACAGGAAGAAGTCTTTTTTTTTTAATTAAGAAGAAGTCTTTCTATTCCTATGTGTCATGCCTGAATTGAGGGCACAGGAGAGGATGACTATGGAAGGGCACAACTAGTACTTACTATTTCATCTGCAGGCAGCAGGAGGTCATCAGTAATAGACAAGGTATTCCACTTGCAATCTTTGTTAGCTCTCAAAGCACATAATCTGTGAGATTTAACTTTGCACACTGTGAGAAGAGAAGAAAAAGAATGGACGTGAATCTAGTGACAACAATTTGAATTCCCTTCCTTAAGCCGCTCTGAAAGTTAGAATCCACATGATTCTAATTGGTTCTGACCCACTTCCAATGGCCTTATTTCGGATATAAGCCAGAACCTTTTGGTTCTTTCTTTTTATGATGGCACTGGAGGTTGAACTCAGGGCCTGGGCACTGTCCCTTAGCTTTTTTGCTCAAGGCTAGTGCTCTACCACTGGAGCCACAGCTCTACTTCTGGCAATTTGGTAGTTAATTGTAAATAAGAGTTTCACAGACTTTCCTGCTTGAGTTGGCTTCAGCCTCCTTTTGATTCTTAGTGGTTAAAATTTGTATTCTCCAACTTGAATGGAACTTAATAGTAGGAATGAAGTAATTTTTGCCTTTCCAATCCTGTAATTATATAGTCCCATTCTCTCATACCCAACTTTCCTTTTATACACGAAAACTCCCCTTTGTGCAAGTTTCTCCTTTTCTTGGCCAGCGTTAACCTTATACATAGTCTGTAACCTAATATGAGTCAATGATACTAAGGGTACATAAACTTCACTTCTACCTCCACCTACTGAGGTTCATTGAAAGGAAACAGATAGGTACCTTCACAGATGATGGCATCTCTAGATAAGGCAGGAATAGTCTCTCGACAAACATTGCAGTGCTGTGTCCGGGGACTGTGGCTGGAATACCAATAGTGCATTCCGATAAGGAAAGGATTATTTTCTGCTGCAGGTATCTAAAATAAATAAAAGAGAAGAGAAAATGGAGGGTTAATCACAGAGATGAATTAGGGAAAAAGCAAGGAAAATCTGCTGCTAGAGCTAAAATGGTCTGCTATGCAGGTGTCAGAGCATGCCAAGGAGAAGACTGAAAGTTGGAGCCAATTCCTGGCTTTATTCTTGGTTTGTTTTTGCTTTGCTAGTGGCTTTAAAAAGGGAAAAATAGTGGAGAGGATCCTGATATAGGAGTTGAAGGCAGGAACAGTGCTCTTTCTACTGCTTGGCCAAGCACTAAACTTACTTAGAACAAGCAAAATTTGTTCTTTTAGCCTCAGTCTTTGTTCTTTTTAAGTAGAAAGCAAAAAGGGGGTGGTAAGTTGGAAGTGATTTCCAAGTACTCTGTCCAGGAAAATGGGAAGTCAGGGCTCTGAAGTCAGGGTAAAGGATTACTTGTCAGGTTTTAACTACCTCTTGGAGGTACACATTGCTGCCAAGTGAGTAGAGGTTGCTTAACCTAGGCAACAGTTAAAGGATCTTTAGTTCCCTATCTCAGGAGCTTCTGATTCAAGTATTCTTTTCTAAGGACAATGCTCTGACTGCCTACAGCAGCCTCCCAGTTAACTTAATTCATTTAATAAATTATTCATTTATTAAACACATATTTGTTGAACGACTACTATATTGTTGGTACTTTTTAAGGCATTTAGTTGTTTTGATGAACGACACAAAGTCTCTGTCCTCATTGACTGACATTCTGTTTGGCATCAACAGTACTGTATTTAGTATTATTGTTAACATGCTTATGAATCCTGTATCTGTATATCACAGCCTGACTCTCATGATTGGGGGAAGGCATCATGTATACCAGCAATACATTTGTGGTAAATTGGAGAAGGAAAGCGTGATCACTGAAAAGCCCTGACTTTGTTCTGGGTATACTTTTTTCATAGGACTCTAATTCCTGTGAATGTCTGATTTTTCTCCTTCTCTGCCTTCCTTTAGAATGTATACATAGACATAGAGACTGCTTTTTATTCTTGACATTATACTGCGTTGAGTGTATAAAGCTATGAAAAGACATTGAAAAGGACTATGTATTCTCCTGGATGTCAGTTTATAGTAGGTCATTAGAAGGGGAATTATTGAGGGATCTCCTACATTAAGACTTGGTCATTGGATAGAAGTTAGGCACAGCTTGCACATAGCACTCTATGATCTTCATCTCTTCCCCTAGCAGGCTACATATGTACTAAGTTACTGCTGTACTGACCTGGGCATTTCTAGAAATAAAAACTATTCTGATTATCTAAAGGCTTATCAAATAATAGCCTTGAAATTTTTGTGAATGAAATGTATTTCATGTACCTTGAGACCTTAGAATGCTCAAAGAATATCAGTAGCAAGTGGGTTGCTTGATGTAGTTAGGGCTCCCAGCCTCTTTCTACTCATCAAGTTATTGTACAGTAGCTCTAACAAGCATCTTTCCTCCTTCCAATCTATTCCCCTCCTTAAATAATTACTACAAGATTCTATTGTGTAATATAATAAGCCACAGTTGTTGCCCTCCAGGAGCTCATCATATGCTGTAAGAGACAAATTCTGAAAGATCATTCTAGTATAGAGTCACAATTGCACTGTTTAATCCTGCACACTATAATCCTGGCTACTGAGGAAGCTGAGGTCTGTGGACCACAGTTTAAAGTCAGCCTGGGCAGGAAAGTCTGTGAGACTCTTATCTCCAATTAACTACCAAAAGCCAGAAGTGGAGTGATGTCTCAAGTGGTAGAGCATCAGCCTTGAGCAAAAATGCTAAGAGAGAACACCAGGGCTGGCACCAACAAAAAAATTGCAAGGTTCTGCAGAATCAGGTAGAAGAAATTCAGAATTCTAACTATGTGGCATGTTGAATATTATTAAATATAAAGGAATGAATTGAATGATATTGCTTAAGTTCAGCAAATAAAGAAATAGAATTTATATTTCAGTGTTCATCTTATTCTAGAAGAAAATTTATAGAATAAGATTCTCATTCAACCCTGGATAAGAATATGTGGTACTTTGAATTATGTCCCCTAAAATATGTTTGAGTCTTAATCTCTGGTATTATGAATATGACATGGTTTGGAAATAGGGTCTTTACATATGCGATCAAATTAAGATGAAGTCATGCTAGATTGGAGTGAGACCTAATCAAATGACTGATGTCCTTATAAGAGGTTAATATGGACACATTCATAAAAAACACCTTGTGAAGATATTGAGCTCACAGACATGGCAAACACATGATGAAGGTAGAAAATGAGTGATGCATCTGAAGGCCAAGGAATGTCAAGGTTTGCCAGTGATCTCCAGAAACCAGGAAAAAGCATAAAATGATCCTCCCGTAGAGGTTTTAGAGAGACTATAGTCCTGTCAACACCTTGAATTCAGACTTTTAGACTACAGAAATATGAGACTACATTGCTGATTTTTTAAACAGCACAGTTTGAGATTATTTGTTACAACACTCTTAGGAAATGAGTAAGATTTTTGTAGAGTATGCAGATGCTTCTGTAACAAATAAAATATGGAGGTAGCTTTGCAGATATGTAATGGGTAAAGGATGTAAGAAATTTGAGACACATGATAATAAAAACCTAGATTGTCTTCAAAAGAATGTTGCTAGAAATAAGAATATTAAAGAGGTTTCTGTCCAGGAAATGGAAATAAAAAAACTGTTTCTGGTGAGATCTCAGATGGAAATGAGAAACATTTTAGAAAACTGGCAGAAAGGTGATCCTTTTTATAGAGTGACAGAGAACTGGCTCTGTGGTTGGGTAGAAAGTAGAAAGTGTAATAAGCTGAAGGAAGTATGGAAGGTAAAGTCTGGTTACTCTCTACTTTCATATAAAATACAAGAGGAAAGAGACACATTGAGGAAGAAATTTGTATTAGTTCACTCAGGCTTCAGTGGCTTAAACAGTAGAAATCTCTCTTATTTACTTATTTATTAGCATACATTAATACAGCAAATTATTTTCTCATATAATTCAAAGCTGAGAAATCCAAGAGAAAAGTGTCAACTAATTTGATTCCTAGTGAGCACTGTCTTACTGATTTTTGATGGTCACTTTTCCTCTTTATGCTTACATGGCTTTTCCTGAATGTATGCATGTGGAGAGTGCGTGAAATCTCTCTTTTCTCCTTTTTTTTTCCTATGAGGCTAACATTCCTATTGGATCCCATTTAAACTTAATTGTCTCCTAAAAGTTCTGTGTTCAAATATTCATTTTAGAGGCTAACAAGTCAATGTATGAATTTTGGAGACTAGTAGAATACAATTCATTACAGAATAGAATTATTAAGTGGTTCACATCTACTCAAGAGGCTGAGATTGGAAAAATCATAGTTCAAGGCCAGCCTGGGGAAAAAGTTAGCAAAACATCATCTTAACCTATGGCTGGGTATAGTGGTACATGCATGTCATCTCAACTGTGTGGGAGGCTGAAGTCAGAATGATTGGGCCACCTTAGGCAAAAAAAATCTCATAGATTTCCATCTCAATAGAAAAAGCTAAGCACCAAAGTACATGCCTGACATCCAAGCTTTTGAAGGAAGTGTAAATAGAAATATTACTAGCCAGGCCACCAGAGAACAAAGAAGAGTCTATCTTATATTTTTTAAGGGCTGGAGGTATGGTTGAAGTGATAGAGTGCTTGCTTAGAAAGTGTGAAGCCCTGGTTTCAAACCTCAGTACTGCTAACTCAGTGCTGGCAAAAAAATAAAGAGAGAGAGAGAGAGAGAGAGAGAGAGAGAGAGAGAGAGAGAGAGAGAGAGAGAGAGAGAGAGAGAGAGAAAGAGAGAAAGAAAGAGAGAGAAAGAGAGAGGGAGAGAAAGAGAGGGAGAGGAGAGGGACAGAGAAAGGGAGGGAGAGAGAAAGGGAGAGAAAGAAAGAAAGAAAGAAAGAAAGAAGAAAGCGAAAGGAAGGAAGAAGGAAAGAAAGGAAGAAAGAAGAGAGAGAAAGAAGAGAGAGAAAAAAGAAACAGAGGGAAGGAAGGAAGACTGGAGAGAAATACAGAGAGAAGGGGAGAAAGAAAAGAAAGAAAAAAAGAAAATAATGAGTAAAGTCACCAGAACTTGAAGATTTGGAAAATTCTTAATCTAGTCATATTACAAAAACAAAGGAGATTATAGTCTGGAAAAAACATCAAGTACATATCTGGAAAACTTTCTAGAGAGATTAGGTATAAGACACATGGATCTAATAAACTATTTTATTTGATTACTGTCATTATGAATAGAAAGGATAGGCACAGGATAAAATGAAGGAAGACAGATGAGATTCTACAGCATGGAACAGAATGATAAAACTATTCAGCTTTGAACTTGTATTATCCTTCAGTGAAAGGGAAGAATGACTTCCAAGTATAGCTGAGAAGCCATTAAGTCTGCTAAGAGAGGTTCAGAAAGGCCTCATAGGGGTGTATGTCTATGGAACAATGTCATCACTTCTTTGATTCCAGAAGATGAAATTGTTTTCTAGGTTCCAGAAGGTGGGTCACTGGTTTGGTTATAGAGAGAGGATCCTACTCAGGTGAGCTGTAAGGGTGGAGCCAGAGGACAGAACATTAAGCCACAGATAATTATGCTCAAGCCAGGAAACCTAATGGGAATTTGCATTTCAGGTTTTTTATCTTTCTTTAGACCAGTAGCCCTTTTACTCCTTCTATGTTCTCCCTTTCATAATGGCAATGTCTATTCTATGTCACTTTCAACACTGATTTATAGAAGCAAATAACTTGTGTTCTAGGTTTCATAGGTATACGGGTAGAGAAGAATTTTACCTAGTGTCCTACACACCGATAGAAGGTAAGATTTTGGACTTAGAGTTAATGCTCTAAGAATTGGCTAAATCCATTGATGATGTTAGGATAGGGTGAATACACTTTGTACATAGAGGGTGTAGTATTGTAGATTGAATTGTGTCCCCACAAAATGATATGTTCAAGTCCAGACCTCTGGTATTCAAAAATAGCAT